ATTAATGCTTTCTGCACCAACAAACTGCGGCGGCTGCTTTCACTTTTCACTCTTTTTTTTTCATATTGCCCACCCATATTTTTTATTGCTTTATATTTTATTTTATTTGGGGTCACATTCAGTTCTCTTTTTATTTGCTGACCGAAGGAGAAACCACAAAATAAAGTGAACCGAAAATCAACATTTGAAGGCAGTTTCATTTACTAATTTTTTTGTTGTTGGTTGCTGGAAAGGACCTTTAGTTATTGATTTGAGGGGGTTCATTGATATGTGGGCTCCAAAAGAAAAGTTTGCAGACGAAGGGTCCTGTGTGGCCACTCTCCCTTTCCGAGCGAGTGTGTGATTAATACATTTGGTCAGGCATTAAAAAACACAGGGCAAACCCAACTTCAACCGAACTCTGTGTTTTATTTGACTTAACCACTTCACAGAGAGAGCGAGAGAGGGGGTCGTGTGTTTTTTGCTGCTCCCCTTTTTATATTATTTTTTTATTTGCCCCGACTTTAAGGACTCTTGAGTAATGATGGCCAGACCAAAAGTGAACTGAATCCATGGCGGGGACTCCGCAAATTTGCGGCAACCAGAGGTCGAAAGGGAGAAAAGGAAAAGTGCTGACATGTTATTTGTGCAGTTAACGAGCTGAGTTATTTTCCAGGGAACAAACCGCACTTGAATACAATAAAATAAAGAGAATAAAACCAACAGCAGAAATCGACTGAAAAATATAACAAGAATAAAAAAGGTTTGACCCGGCGAAACTGGCAATTTTCCTCTGCTTTTCATTGCCCCCCTCAACAATTTCAGGTTTCTGCCTAACAAATTACACAAAATTTATTTTGCTGGTTGAAAGTTTGTTATTTGTTTATTTGATTGCCGCTCATTAAAATTGGAAATGTAATATTTATACAATGACCCTGTAAAATAGAACCCTCAAAATAATGTTTGGTAAATCAAATTGTTGGCTAAAATCTGAACAATTTGTATTGATTTTCAAGGAGAAAAGAAATTATTACTAATTACTATTTCATTTTTAAAATACATTTTGATCCATTTTATTGAATATTTTGAAGTATTTTATTTTTAATTAGAACCCAAACCTTGTTATAAATTCAAGTTCTGACAGTTTTTCCAGCTTTTCGCCCATTTTCAAACATAACTGAAAAACAATTTTATACATTCCCAAAATATTTGCAGAGGGTTTTCCCCAACCTTTTCCTTCAACTGAAAAACATTACTCATGCATGTAATTTATATGCAACTTTCTATTTTTATTTAAATAACAAATTTCTGAAAAACTGAGCAGATGCAAGTCAACTCAAGCCAACTGACACATCACACACACACACACACAAATATTTAACATATTATTTTTCTTTTTTTTTTTGTACAAATAAAATTTTCATAAAACAATAAAGGTGAAAAGTATGCAGACATACATGACTAACACAAATGCACGTTGAGCCGGACTCCAACATGCAACTATGCAAATGGCAAACATAGAACATCTGACGCGTCCTGTCTCCCTCAAGAGCACATATTCTTTTTAAGCACTAAACAAAAATCAGGGATACTCTTCTTTAAGGAGTTTCAGTGCCTTCAAAAAATATATCAATTTCCTTAAAATGTAAGTTGCTTTAACCCTTAGTTAAGTTGTAAATGAAATTCCGCTTAAAACTTTTTATTTTTGCTAAAAATATTCATCAAAAGGCACTCTTATTTTCTCTCAGTGCCTAGAAAAATGCATACACTGCCCCTGTCTGTTGGATTTCGATTTCACTAGAACAAAACACCACAAAAAAAGTCGCGGGAGCTGAGCTTACTCACTGGGTTATCCTTGAATGTCCCTCATCCAGCAGCTAAATTAGCTTTTCCTGGGTCACACACACACACACACCCGCAAATAAAGAAAAGCTGGGTGTGAGTGGGTGGCTTGGCGGTTGCTGGATAAACAAACAACAGCTACAGCAAAAAGCAGCAGCAACAATTGAAATGATACAAACACACACACTGAGAAAGAACGCTGCAAAGTGAAATGCAATGCCAGCTTTGGGTTATAAATAGACTGCAGGCGGGAGGAGGAAAAGTGGGTGTAGGGCAAATGTAGAAGGAATTGTTGTAGGTGCTTTTCCTTTTTTCATAATGCCCAGAAGAAAAAGCAGCGCAGCATTCTTTCCAATTGCTTTTGTTGGCTGCTGTAAGCATAGGCAGAAAAACGAGGAAAGAAGAAACTAGGAAGGGGGAGGAGAATGTGGTATGTACTTCAGGAAATTGAAGAAAATGACCTTCAGATTAAATGCAGAAATTTGCAAATGATTGTGGGATTAACTTTCCAGCCAGAAAATGCACAAAAAATTGAGTTTTTTATTAGAAAAAGTCATTTTAATGATCATTAATAAATATTAAAAATATATTTATAAAATATTCACCACCATTTCCCTTTTATTTTTAAGATTAAATATTATTTGAATTCACATACGACCAGAGTAATAATTTAGGCTAGCCTATGCAAATCCTTAGCCAACATTTTCCTTTATAATTTCCCTTAGGTTTCCCGTGTTCTTTCCTTTTGGCTTGGCTTACACGCTGCATTGTCACTTTACCTTTGGCCACACAAAAGCTGAGCGCTGCTTTCTCAGCACTCGCCTAGACATTATTTTCCAACAACACATCCTTGTATTCACATGTGCTGGCATTATTTGCTTACGTGCCCAAAGCTCAGCTCATCCCCGACCACCCACTCTCACGGCCACTTTAATAAATGAAAAACCTCTCTCGGAGCTTTGTTTTCCCACATCTATTTGTTTACCGCTGCTGTTTTGTTCCAACATTTCTTTCTGTTTTGTTTATTATTATTTGTTTGTTGGTTTTGTAGCGCATTAGAAAAAGAGTCATTTCACTTTCAGCTGAGAATTTTCCCCCATTGGCTATGAATAATTATAATTTTGCCTCATCAGAAGCCACAACGCCCAGCGCCCAACTAATTGAATGTCACATGCAAGTGCAGCATTATATTTAGTCCAAGCTAATTGCATTGCAACACGCGCTTTAAAGTCAATGAACGATTCGGTATTCGGTATTTGGCCATTTTACTTAGCCACAATTGCAGGCGCACGCAAATGTCAAAGCCTTTTAAAATAGCCATAAAGTGCCTAGAACCATGGGATGCCACCGAAATAGCAGCAAAAGTTGTAAATTGCCAAGGCAGTGGCAGTAAACATAAAATGTCATACTCAGTGTGGGCTATAAAAAAATTTACGCATCGTTTGCTGTTTTCCGGAAGAAGTTAGAGATGGGAAAAGGGAAATTTTGAATATTTTTCTGGGGTACACTATGAAGAAGAACTTTGAGATATCGAAGATTCAAATCATATCATTGAAGAAGAGTTATCATTATACTTTTCATATTCCCCTTCTACCATCCCTATCCTCACCAAAACGAACCCCATTTAGAGCGTTTTCGGTATAGGTGGTAACTGTCAGAATGGCGCCTCCCTTAGGCGCCAACTATTTGCATGTGTGATAAGGCCCAGACAGGGGGGTTGTTGCCACAAAAAAGGAGGGGCGCAAAGGCAAAACAAATAACGAGAAAACCCTTTACAGGGCCACAAATCAAAGGCTGGAACATGAAAACAATATGTCAAATGATATTACACATTAAATTAGTTAAGACCAAACAAATGTGAATAATAAAGTTGCCTGTCGTGTTCGCTGTGAGGGTGCCAAGACGAGGGGGTTTCGTGTTAAGCATGTGTGCTTGGAAAACTCGATTTTCCTTACACCTAAGTATATATATATGCCACCTCCCAACACTCCCATAGCAAGCTGATTTTCCTTTTGCTACTCTTGGCGGCGGTTTAAGCTCATTTTCGCCCAGCAGCAATTTGTCACGTGACATTTTCGTTTGGCCAAAAATTACAAATGTTTTTATTATTTTTGGTTTGAGTTTTCCCTTTCCCTACCCAAGGATTCGCGCTGCATGCATTTGCTTTGAGGCGTTGCCAAGGTGCGTGTTTTTCGAGTTTTGATTTCCTGACGTGTGTTTACACTGAGGATACAACCCAAAATGACAGCACCGGAATGGGAAAATTAAGATGGAAGAGACTAGAGAGAATCGCCATCTGAGGTTAAGGGGTAATTCTATTGGACATTTGAGGTAAAACAGAGGTGGAAACTGAAGAAGTCTAAGACTGAAATAGGTGAGGAAACTCATTAGCTTCTTAGAGGATTATTAGTTTGAAGATTGTATCCCCATATTTTCATATAAATTTATTGTCTTTTGAATAAAATAAATCTACTTTTTCTCTTACAAATCTTGACTTTCAGTGTTCATTTATCCATTAACCCGAATAAATGAAGACTTTAACATTTTCATTTCATTTTTAATAACTATAATTATACGGCCGCCTCTTGCCGATTTTAGCTAATGAATTAAGTTGGATTTTAAAATACTTTCGTTTCGTGCATGCAGACATGCAATGTTGGAGTGTAAAAATAATAAAGAAAATTCTCATTATTGTTGTTATAGTTTCTTATGAGAGATTTCCTAAGAAAAATGGAAATTGTAATTTATGATTAAAGGCAAAGGAAATATATAAATAGCCATGGAATGTATAATGATTATAAGGGGGTGAAAGATGAACTAGATAAGGAAATCTTTTTTCGAATATGAATGAAATTTGCAAACTGATTTAATAAGTAAGTTTAGTTAATATAATTAAGTGTTTTAATTAGTGGTAAGTTATGGATTTTAGGGTTTTAAATATGTTTTTTTTATTTTTGTTTAATGCTGAAATTATTGTTTAAAAATCATGACTAAGGTTAAGAGTAAAACTTAAAGAAAATGAGTAAAAACTAAAACATAATGAAAAGGTTACATTTAAACATTAAATTACAAATTAAAATTAGCTAAAATTAAAATTAAACATTAATGGTAAAAATTAGTTAGAGGTTAGTGTGAGTGGATGTTGGGGTTCCGGAGGAATGAATCACTCGCACACTCACCTTTCCCTCAGGCAAATTTTGAACTCCGTCTGGGAATCGTAGTCACTGCTATCGATAAAGCTGCTGCGTTCCCTGTCCCGCTCGCGCTCCCGCTCCCGCTCTCGCTCCCGTTCCCGTTCCCGTTCCCTCTCCCGCTCTCGCTCTCGCTCTCGCTCCCTTTCCCGCTGGTACTCCTGCATATTGGCCAACTGTTTGTGGAAGAGCTCCTGCTGGGACTGGAGGAGATCATGGTGATCCTGCAGAGCGGCCAGGTGGGAGAGTTGCTGCTGATAGGAGGGCGATTGATGCAGCTGGTGATGGGACGGCGATGTGGGTTTGGGTCGTTGGTAGGGATGATGATGATTATGTTGATGATGATTATGATGTTGATTGTGGTGGGGCTGATGGTGGTGCAGCTGATGGTGATGCGGATGGCGCTGTAACTGATGTTGGCTGGAATGGTGGTGCTGCATATTTGAACTGCTCTTCAGCTGTGTCATCTTGGCATCCACCTCGGCCAGACCAAATTCCAGTTCCGCCTGGGCCTGCTGCTCATAGGCCTGCTGAGCCTGTTGCAATCTTTCCCGTTCGCTGCGCGGCGAATTGGCCAACTGTTCGGCTGGTGGTTCAATCTCAACCGCCGAGTAATCGTACTCCAAGCGATGATGATGATGTAGGGACTGTGTATTCTTACTGTCAGCCGTTACAGCTCCCGTTCCTGGCGTGGCAGTGGCTATTTTGCCAGCCAACGCGTCCAGCGAGCTGAGCATTTTGATTGATACGCTGATCGATCGGAAGCGGCTATAACCGATCCTTCTTCTATGGCCAATTGCCTGTGGATTTCTTGCTGACATGCAGAGTCCTCTCGACCTTATAACCTTTGTTCCAGCTAGACAAGCACTGTGCTGCTTTTGGCCTTCTTCTTCTTATTCTTGGTCTTGGTTTCTCTCGTTTTTTTTTTCCTCTTTTACTTTCTTTTCTAATATTTTTCTCTGTTTTTCACTTATTTCATAAAATTTGCCTGAAGGAGAAGTTGGGAGGCAGATTGCAATGGATTAGTAAATTTAAATGAATATTTATTAGTTAAGGTAGATAAATGAGTGGATGCAAGAGAGAGAGAAAGATAGTGATTGAGAGAGAGTGAGTAAGAGGAGACCTTGAGACAAACGGGCATGCAATCTACGGTTATCCTCTGTTTATTTAATAGCTTAGGTCAGCTACATTTCACTTAAGCTCACAAACTCGAAAATAAAGAACCAGTTCACACACACACACACACACTTACTCAACCATCTATACACAAGCACATGTCCGTGTCCGTCTGCGTCTGTGGTCGTAAAATGCAAACACTTGAACTAGAAAAGGGCCAGCAGCTTGAAAGGCAAAACGTAGGGGGTTTGTTGGGGATGAGAGGAGGATGCAATGGTGGAGTGGTTGCCACTCACATTGTGTGCAGTGTTTGTCCAACCCAACACCCCCAGCACTTCCCTTGCAGTCCAACATGGCCACCACTCCCCTTGGCAAACACAAACATCTCGAGGGGCAGAAGTCGCTTTAGCCATCTCTGGTCAAAATAATTGGTAGGACATTCAAATGAAGGAAATCAAGAGAAATGCTAAAGGTTTTTCACATGAAAAAGGGGAAGATTCGTTGGCTGATGAGTATAAGTTTAATATCTTCTTGGTTTTAAATCCTCATTTTACGGCTTAAATCATTTGCAGATCATCTTAGACCCTAAAAACTAATCAAGATGGCAATACTTTGTGGTTAGTTGAGAAGGCTAAGCTATTCCAATAAAGTAACAAGAGGGAGCTGAATGGCAAACATGTTGACCGCACTTCATCCTGGTCTATGGACACTCTCTCAGACTCCTTGGCATCCTTCCTGGCAGCCTAGAGAAACCCTTATCCACTCTACTCAACACCTGCAATATCTTCAATCAAATTTCCAGCTTACAACAAGTTGAGACTGCTCTGTGTGGCTGCTGCAAGAAAAAACTACAAAGTTTGCTTAGTATCTTTTACTAGCGATGATTGAGGGGGTGGTGGTGGTAGGTAGTGGGTGGTGTGGCTGAGTGGATGGGTGATATCCTCTTCTTGATGTTTGTTGTATGACATACTATAAAAGTCAACTTGAATGCGCTGTGTAAATTTCACCACAACTCCTTCTTCTTCTCCTCCTTTTTCCCACACAGAGAGTCCTGCAGTTCTCTTTCTCTAGTGCCTTGCAACTTTAAGTAGTTCTCCCTGCCCACACATAGACATTCTCACACACATCCTTTCTCTCTATCCGGAGCAATGGTTGCATTTGAAAGGAATTTGCCTTTTACAAGATTTTACTCTTTGCAATTTACACGCGTCGACCGCTTTTCCATAAGCACACACACACACACACACGCAAATGGATCTAAAACACACACACATACAAACACGTTGTGCGAATGTATTTGTTTGGCTGTTGCAAGCAGTTGGCTTTTGTAAATGTTACTTCCTTATTACATGACATTATATTATTGCAGATACACTGTTGCAAGTCTTGGCTATCAAAGTCCCAGCCACAAATGGGGAAGCACAGAATGGGAATGAAAATGCAGAGGAAGTTGCAAGAGCAGAAAGATCTGATGCTTTGCAGGATATTTGCCTACACATACAGGATGTCTTTGCTTCTAGAGTAACGGAAAGAAAGGAGTCTTTTTGCCTGTAATTAGCAGGCAATAGGCGGGTTTTTCCAACTAAGTTTAAAGTTTACTTTGAGATGTCAGAATTAATGAGGAAATTCTTTCGGAATAAAACTTTAATAGCATAATTACATTACTGTGTCAGACAGCTTTAAATTAACCCAAAAAAACCTCCAATAAAACTACAAAGCCTTCCCTTTAAAAGGCTATAATTAAATGCATAAAAACCCTAATTTGCATATGTTAATTTCCAATGAATTTCGCTTTAATCCTTTAAAAAACAATTCAGCAACTTAATTAGGCATGCAGCTAATTGCATTCAAAGGATATCAGGCTCAACCCAGAGCCCGAAGGCAAAGGACGCCAGACAGTTGGAAGTCAGTTCCTTTTTGTCCTTTTCATTAGCCAGCCATGGCTTCGTAATAGAATTTGAAAGGGCTTTAAGAACACCCTCTCTGTGCTAGTGTGGGTGTGTTATCAAAACTAACAAACGGAAAAGTAAGGCAAAAAGTAGAGGGAAAAATTAAAAAAAAAACTAAAGAGAAAAATCGCGCTAGACGAGAAAAACTCTCTTTCTGAGCTTCAAAGACAAGCGCGCGGCATAACCCAAAAACATAAATCCTTTGGCGTAGACTAAATAAAGTGAACTGGCAAGAAGAAAAATGAATATGCTTTTCCTTGGCCAAGAGACAGAGAGAGAGAGATGAGGATGTACTATGTATAAGCGGAAAAAGTTGATAAGCGGCAACTGCAAAAGCTTTTCAACACCCAGCTAGGGTAAGAAAACCCGAATGAGACACATTCAATGCGGATTTTCCACTGCGGAGTTACAAATAATAAGATTTTCCATGGCATCCAATGTGACAGAGAGAGATTATCATAGAAAATATTGAGTGCCAGAAAAGGAACTTGAATTTTTTTAAGGACATAAATGCCCACTTTCGAATAATTCATTTAACAATATCTATCTGAGATTATTTTCGATATGTAAACTAATTAATTTCCCTGTCGTTTTGCTCCTCAAAGACCTAACCTTTCTTGCTCCATGAATAAATATGTACACAATATTCAATTATCAGCTCAATCTGAGTCACAATTTCCCTGGCTGGCATTATTTTCCATGAAACTAGTGCAAATATTCCTTTCGGCCAGCATTAAATCAAATGAATCGTTTGTTGCGGGCACAAATATTGTGTCACTTCGCAAAATATAATCCTGAGTCCTGAGAAACTCAAACCCGAGATACTGGCATAAATTGTCAGCTGACAATTTAATAAACAATGCAAACTCAGGGCTAAAATGATTAGACATTTATGGATGGATATGTGTGGTGGTCTGCCTGGGGGAGCCACAAGAGCTATGCAAATGTAAACGAATCGAGTAACTAATTAAGCAGCAAAATGCCCTAGAAACACCAATAACATATCTCTCTCTGTCACTTTAAGTATTTCCTAGAAAACTGGGAAATTAAATTCATTGTTGTAAAGAAGAAAGTCTTAACCGCAACAAGCCAAAGTCAAGATGAGAGCGGGAGAAAGCAATTACTTTCTGCTTTGCTTGTTGCTTCACTTTACAAGACGTCGCCGTTGGCCCTGCCCCTAAAAACAGAATAAAAGGAGAAAAAAAATAGAAAACTTTTTGAGGCCCTGACAGCAGTTTATGCTACACTTGCTTCGACTCAAACTGTCAATATTTTACTTTAAGACACCCAGCCACAAGGAGTCGAGCACCAGCAGCCACATCATTTGCTATAAATTTACTTCATGCTGCCGCTCTTCTAACGACCCGAAAACTCAACGGAACAGAACAACAAAGTGGCAACTTCTTGTGGGCGGTTCCAGACATAAATTCCTTCCTTACTGATTTTCTCAAGCTGGATAGATATTAGTATTCAAAATTATAATATCTTTAAGCGAAATGTTAAAGTAAAATCTTGTTAAACTCCTGAAAATGAATCTCTCAAACTTTGCTGAGATCAACCTAAGATTAAAATCAGTTTTTAAAACCCTTAAGAAACCGATTTGATACCTGACTTTCCCATTTTCCCTACCGAACCAAAACTCTCTCACTGTATTTTGTGGTTAGTTCAGAACATGTGTTTTGCTTGGCCAAGTTAAGACGAAGCCTGCCCAGCCAAGTGGGCCACAAATTTTGAGGTCAGCCTTGGATGGTCTGGCATAAATCTGAGAGCAAACTACACCGAAGAAGCCGTCTTGCCTTTGGACAGGACATCTCCTTGGACCCACACTCCTTTTGGCCTGTGGCGAGTCCCTGGGAACGGACTTTGAACCCCATGTTGATGCTGGTAATCAAGGCATTAAGTGTGTTTACTGTTTATTTTATTAGACTTTAAGGCTTAATAGCTTTTTCGAGAGCGTTTTTCGGCTCGCCTTTGTTTAGCAGGCCAGCCTGTCTCAGCCCTCTCGACCTCTCTCTCGCCCATTCAAGTATTTAATTAAAGTCAACTTTGATTTAATTAAAAGTTCAGGCTCTAGTCCAATATTTTGCTCATGAATTATTTATGCCAACAAGTGCGCCGAAAAGAAAAAACGCGGCCAAACTGATTAAGCCAAATAAACATGAAAAAAAAAGAGAAAAAGAGAGAGGCAATTGCTGATGGTGGAAAACAGGAAGTGCGACAAGTTACAAGTTTGCACCGCAAAATGGGAAAAACTCTTACTCTCATTAGCGGGAAACTTTGCCCAGGACTAAGACTATAACCTTCCTTATTCTCCTCCCTAATATTCTCTTTTCCTTTTTTGAATGGCCAACTTTTGCGTTCAACTTCTTTGGCTCTTTTCTACGTTCTCTCGCCTTTTCCTATTTATCTCAGCCAAGAGTAGTAGTTGGTCAATTTCCCGGTCATTTCTGTAACTTTGCTGACGTGTCCTGCGAAATCGACTGTCGCCGACTGCTAGTCTTTTGTGCTTGGCGTTAATCTGTCGATTTTCGTAGAAAATTTCAAGCAATTGCAAGTTGTCTGGAGTGAAGTGAAGTTCGTTTTTTCCTGGGGAAATATATTTTTTATATACAACACTTTTCTTTTCAGGTGAATTTGTGGTTTTCCTGCCTTGGCTCATTGTAGAAAAAGCCATGGAAAAATTATTATTAATTTTCTTGATTGGACTGGGCAACTTCAAGATTTTCTAATTTAAAAACATCAAAAACTTCTCCCAGAAAATCACTAATTTTTGGTGCAGGAAAATTTCTCATAAATGAAAAATGTTTGGAAGATCAAACAATGCTAAGCCAAGGTAAATAA